TTGTTCTGTCCTGCCCCTTACTTCTCTTAAAGACTTTGCACAGAACATGAATTTAAAATGTTTTACTCTACTTCAAACATTGCATTGACTTTCTAATTAACATACTTTCTGCTTGTTTATAAAAGTGCTTGTGTTCATCCCTGGCAAACTCAGTCATGTTTAAATTATCACATTAGCTGTTAACAACCCTTAAAAATATGGAGGAGCTTTAAAGTTGGACATGTTTATAAATTCAGTTTATAAACAAGTATTTTGTAAGTTCTTTCTTTCTTATCAAGTCCTAGTACACCAGGTAAAATATCTAATTATAATGGAAGTAAAAAGCAAGTTATCTGAAATTCTGTTGCTTTTCTTCAGAGGTTTATGTATTTTTACCCACCTTTCCTGAAGCAGATAAAGGTATGCATATACAGGAGAAATGAGGACATTAATTATATTCAGTTTTAACTGTAAGAACTAATTGCCTCATTTTCTGATATTCGTCATTAAAAACGTATATGGTTGTTAATAATGTTATTACTAATGAACTTTTTATATCAACGATATTATAGGACAATAATGAAATACAAAGCACACTGCATCTCTGCAGTCATGTTAAGATTGGCTAGAGGCAGGTCCAGGGAAGATGTCAGACCACCTACGATGAAACTACAGTGTCACAACCTCTCTCTTTCCTAAGGACTAAAATATTTAAAAGTACTCCAGCTCCATATGATTATTTTATGGGATAGTTATATTTATCAAATGAAAATATCTCACTAGAAATTGCACAAATTGTAACTCATGGTATATGTAAAATATGGAAAGCATCCCATTTTAGAATACATCTAAACAGGGCTTAGCTCTCTTCAATTAACATTTACAGTACACTGTCACTCTTCAAATTAACAGTGTGCTCTAGTTTAAGGAAGACAAGAATATGCTGATGAGATATTAAAGGCAGCTACAGTTCAGGACCAGGAAACCCCTTTCTTAGTAATTATTACTGAGTGACAAGGCCACATCATCTGGATTTTCTCCTGATGTTCCTCGTTTTGGAAATACTGTGACCTCTGTACCCACCACACCAATTAGAAGTGAAGCACAAGTGTCAGTTTTATCAGTGTAAATGAGGTTCTCGCCATTAGAAAACCTATTAGCCTCTCAGTAGGGAAGCCAGTATTTCCTGGCCAGCTACAGCTAGTGTCACACAGCTGGCATTCATTAGCTTCCAAAAGGAAAAGTCTATTACTGCAACCGAAAATAGAAGTCACAATTAAATACATAATGCAAAACAAAACAACTTTCATTGACAAGCAGCATGAGACAGAACCACATGTACAGAATGTCATTGAACTGTTTCCTAGACTTGAGTTCCCAATCTCAGCTCCAGGAGGGACCTGAGCCTTCTGGCTTGATGAAAAGTCAATCAAAAACTTGACCTAATCATTTTCTCTGTTAGAAACAGATAGGAGTTTGTCTCTTAAGGCCTGTTGATTTCTCAAAACCTTCACTTCTTTTAGAAGTGCTGTTGCCGATAAATGATCTTGTCGTCTGGTTAGAAGTCATACAATTCAACAATTAATTGAATAATCATAGCATCCATGGCCCACGAATATACAGTACTTCGCCTGCCAAAAACTACATTTCAGACACTTGGTCTATATTCAGGTAGAAATATTTAATTTGCATCTTACAGATAAAAGCAATGCTTCAAGCTGCAGTGCTGAGCAGTTGTCTCAGGTTTGCACTTATTCTGTGCTGTTCAAGAAGAGAGACATTCTAGGCGCCAGTAGTATTCATTTACCATCAGAAAAGTTTCTGCAAACAGTGCGAAAGTAAATTAACTGTGTTAAGAGCATAAAACGAAGGAACAGAAGTGAGTTTTGTGATTCATATTATGTTACCAGAATTTTTGCTTAATATTACAACATTAGAAAGGTTACTATAGAGAGGAAGCCATTAGGCCTACTTAGCTTGTCTGTCTGCTTATTGTAACAATGTGCATCCAAACAATATTTTTTCATTTTGAGAATTTGTTTTGTCCGAGATAAAATCTAATATATCAAACAGGGGATTTATTTTCTTTGTCCTGCTTTACAAATTGATCTGAATGTACTGTAGATTATATTCTACACTTTATAGGTAGAATATGTTGTTTCACTTATCTGAAAAATAATAAAATGCACATAATTTCAACCCATTCATTACTAAGACTACAGCTGGTATTTAATCAGCTCTTGTATACAGGTACTCACTCCAGAACAGAGAGCCATAGTCCTGTATGTTTTATAGGAAACATCAAATCCTTGGTTACTAAAGATTTTGTAAAACGTGTCCTTCATTGAAAATAATGTGCTTCTGATAAAACTGTGCCAGTTTGTTAAAGAGCATTTGTAGAGTACAAACCCCATATTAATCACAATAAGATAAATCAAGTCCAGAAAATGTTTTCCTGGATAAAATTCTTTTTAGACAAAATATCACCTTAAGTAAAGCCTAGCTAATTCTAAATACAGAGACCTTCAAAAGCATGTTTCTAGAAACGCACGTGAACAAAAATTAAGGATTTTTATTATTTTTGACACACAAACATGTTACTCAGTTAAAATATGTACCTCTGGCTGCAAAAACTCATTAAACAATAAACCACCTATGATATTGCCGAAGGTACAGAATCCCACAATTATTTTATCTGAACTATTTTACCATTAAAATACTCACTGGAACTTGACGTGCACGCCATTTTCAGGTGGCGTTCTGTTAACAACACTAAAAGTTGTAGTTACAATCCTGTGATATTACCGGAATCAGCTTTGCTCTCCGACACTTTGCTTCCAGTTTGAGAAATGTCTAAGAATAACGCAGTGCACATGCACTCACCCCTCTCTGCTGGGTGCATGCTAATCACCCTTAATTACATGCAGTCGCATCCCTCGAGTTCAGTCCGGTATGTCAGCTGTATTTTCAGCCTATGTTGCTGTTGTTTAGCTGTATATTAAGCTAAACAAGCTAAATAAGTGACACAACAAAAATGGACATGCTAAAGTTACTTCTCTCTCTTTACTATAGCATTCATAACATTCGTGCAGATTATATTTATACATCCTGTGTTAGATTTACCTTTTTGGATAAGACTTGATTAAAATGGTTATGGTATTTTCTACCAAGTCATTCCAACTTTCCATAAGAGTGATTTTGATCAGCAATTCTTACATCAGTAAATTAAAAAAACATATAGACCTGTATACAGTATAGCCTTTTTGGTGGTAACTAATTACCTTTAATAAAAGCCTAACAAACACCTCTGCCCTGCTCAAATACTGTTTCTGTACATTATAGCACATATTTCAAAGGGATTTCTTGTGTGGGTTTTAAATGTTCTTTTTACGGGTAGAAAATGATTTTGCTGCTAGGCGTTATGTGTTCTGTCATGTTCTCCAAGATATTTTGCTTCACTGCTTACGAGCGCTACTATACCCACACAATTGTTTCGTAAAAATACCTTTTAGAACAATTCTGAAATGTTGGGAATTGTTAAACGTGAACCAGCCTAATGTTAGGAGGCATTAAAGGAGAGCTTTTTGGAGCCCAGCTCTGGTAGCTACCCAGGACTCCTCCCAGCTTTGAGCAGCCCTCCTCACCCCAAACTATTTTTTCCATTCATCCATTATCAGAGGGGCGCTTACCCTGGTGGTGGGACCTGCCGCAGCCTGGAGGCTGCCCCAGAAACACCGGCAGCAGGCCGGACGCAAGACTGCTCAACCCCTGGGCCTCACACCAGCCACCCACGGATCACACCCGTGCAGCACACCATTCAAACACACACTAACACGGGGAGAACATGCAAACTCCACCCAGACAGGCACCCAGAGCCAGAATCGAACTCGGGACACAGCAGCCACATTGGGAACAGAAGCAGATAAATGAAAGGGAATGCCCCTATGTGACAGGTGAACACCTTTAGCCCAGTGCTCATGTCACAAGCAATGCTGGGTAAGGCAAAAAAAAAACAAGAGAAAATTAGTGTTTAGTAAGACACTCCAATTTTCATACATTTACAACAGAACGGCATTTTTTAGTGAACTCCTTAATTTTCTCTCCAATTTCTTTGACTACATTTATTGCCAAAGTAATGTTGACCTAACATAAACACCTTCAGTTTTCCACACACAAAATACTCATGGTGCAGGAGGGGAACCTGTAGGGTTTTCATTCTGTGATTCGGGAAAACCTGCCGCAGGAAAAACAAAGTATTGATCTTAATTCAAGGGAACAGAAGTATAACATGCTACACATTAGGTACATGCTATCTAACTAAACAAGCTGCTTTGTCAACAAACAAGCTGCCTTTAAAATAGGAAGCCCCCTGATCTTAAATACAGTGTATTTAATATTCTACCAAAACTAAACAATAAAATTCCAGTACATAATGCTAAGTGATATATTTTATTAAAAATATTTAAAAGTGCTCTGTACACATCAATCGGTTGCCTTTGCCACTATCCACCACTACCAGCACAGATATGACACTATGTGGACAGTGGGCAATGTACATGAATCTATACAGTGTTCATCAGAGATATGCTACAAATGTACATCTTTTCTGAACAGATTTGATTGGTGTACTGTATAACAGCGCAATCACTGTCCACAGAATTAAGGCAAAGTGGTCTCCCCGAATGGACCGACAAATACACATCTCACACAACTTTGGTATATTCTAGGTAGAAAAAATATCCTCGTTTCACATTTTTTTACACCTTTTAATTTTTATTTTAAAAAAAAACGGAATTCTACCACCAACACCGGAAACTAACGAAAAACAAAGCACGTGATCCGCTACGGTGGGCAAGAACTACTGCAGAGGCCCGTGCGTTCGTACACTAGTATTTTTAGTGTCCTAAGAAGTCGTCGTCGCCGCACGCGAGCCCGAATCGGGGATGTTCCCAGGCGTTCTTCACGAGCAGGCGATGCTCTCCAGGTGCTGCTCCGCCTCGGCGGCCATGGCGGCGGCCTGGAGCTGCTCCGTCTCGCTGGGCCCGGCGCCGCCGGGGACCTGCTTGCGCTCGCTGTGCATGTTGTTCTCGTGCCGCTTCAGGTCCGAGGCCTTGGCGAAGGCCTTGGTGCAGGAGCCGCAGACGAAGGGCTTCTCCCCCCGGTGGCGCCGCTCGTGGTCCTTCAGGTGCGACTTGTGCTTGAAGGCCTTGTCGCACATCTGGCACCCGAAGGGCCGCTCGTTGCTGTGCACCCGCTCGTGCTTCTTGAGATCGGGGGCGCGGATGAAGGACTTGCCGCACACGTCGCAGCGGTACGGTTTGTAGCCCGTGTGGATCTTCAGGTGCTCCTTCAGGTGGGCTTGGGTGGTGAAGGCCTTGGTGCACATCTCGCAGATGAAGGGCCGGTCTGCGGAATGCAGCTTCTCGTGTTTCCTCAAGCGGTTTTCGTCGATGAAGGTCTTCCCGCACACCTGGCAGGCCAGCTGCTCCCGGTGCCCGTACAGCAGGTACTCGAATTTCATGTCCCCCGCCGCCGTCGTCCAGCCGGGCTGCTGCTCGTCTTTCACCTCGCTGATGCTGTCGGCGAAGCTGAGCGCCTGAGGGGTCTGAGAGCCCATGTCCTTGGGCTCGCCGTCCATGGCCTCCACTTCCTGATCGTAGCAGCTCACCTTGTGAACGTCTTCGCTCCCGAGCTCCTTGAGAATCGCCTCCTGCACCCGCAGGGCACTGGTGGGCGACTTTTCGATCTCGGGGTTGGGGGGAGCCTCGTCCCCGACGTCATCCGAAGGGCTCTCGTCCTGATCCCCGAGCACCTCTACGTCGTCATCCTGGCCCTCCTGCGCCTCCGCCGTCGGCAGCGAGATTTTGACGATGTCGTAATTAAATTTGGCTTTCCTGTGGTCGCTCTTTTCCTCGGGGGGAGAGAGGTCCCGTTTTTGGGAGCACAGTTTATCTAGAAACCTTATGCCAAGGATCTGACCAGAGGACATCATCAGATTTACGTCTTCTTTCTTGACTGAAATTTTGGCGGTGTACATGTAATTCAGCACCTCCTCAAAGATGTCTGACCGGAGGAAGTCAATCTCTATTACAGAGGAGTTGTCCACCTCGTGCTTTTTAAACAGCTTTTTGAAGTAGTTACTGCAAGCTGCCAGAACGCAGCGGTGGGCTCTGAATTTGACATCTTCCACAACCACTGCTATGTCACAGTACTCGCCTTCCAACCTCTGCTCGTTCAGTATCTTCAGAAAGACTGTTTTGTGTTCGTCGTCAACATACTTCACTGTTTCTGACATGGTGCCCCGTGATCCTGCAGATTCACAAAATAGGTTTAAGAAACACTGCACGTATAAACACTGTCACCATGTGCCCTGTGTATTTAAAATGAACTGCGGTGATCAAAGATATTGGTTTCTGCCACATATAACCTAAAACTCTTCAGCAAGAGAAATTGTTGTCACTAAGGAAGCTTTAGCTTTCCAATGTTTGTTTCACTCTAGGCAGTGAAGTAAACCATTAACTAATTATACCACAATACATTTATATCATAATCTCCTACATATACAGCTTTTTGTAAACCATTAACTAATTATACCACAATACATTTATATCATAATCTCCTACATATACAGCTTTTTTAGGTTTTCTTACCATTGATTAACACAATGGTCCACAACTGCAAACACAACAACAAAAATGAGTGCACAAGCAAAAAACAATACAAAAATGGGTGCACAATAAAAAATGTGTCCAAAATGGAAACAGGTTTTCACAATGGACATGACACCTGTTGTTAGGTGAGAGGGCAGCGCGGAGTGGAGTGCGTGTTTTGAGTTCTCGATGAGATGTTTTTGTGAATTTTCTAAAATCTTAAGAACACCAAGACAGTATTTTTGTGTACTCCTTTCTGTTTGTGCACGCATTTTTGTTTGTGAACTCATTTTTGGTTTTTATGCTTTGCTCTTCTGGGCCAAAACTGATTATTCAAATGTCTCACTTCATTGAAGCAACAGTTGCCTTTAAATCCCTCAAAGCTTCAATGGAAGGATTACTAATGTGTGGCTTAAATTAAATAATTATAGAATTACACTGGTGTAGAACAAAATACAAAGGACTAGACTTTCCAAGAACTGTCCAGTCGTGGAGGGTCAATGTGTTTTTAGGTTTTCTAGGTTTCTTTAAAGCAGCAGCGTCTTAAGAACTAAGTGTTTAATTAGTCCAGTTAAGCCAAAAACAAGCTGATTGAGTGTAAGAGTGGGGTTGGACTGAAAAACTAGAGACATCCCAGCGCTCCCAAACCAACTAGAACTGGACAGGCCTGATCTTGAACATTAGCCAGTTAAAACACCTCTAAAAAAAGCAATATATCACAAAACACACAGAAACGAATACCTTCATGGAGACAAAAGCACCCTTAATGTGAAACTTACACACTTACCTAGGGTATCCTACAGCAATACTATATCGAAGTGCATTTTCCTGACGTTTTTATAACGTCTGCGGTAATACACTTTTACTGCAGAGATTTATTTTTAACTTTAACGGTGTCAGAATTTCTGCCCCCCCCCATTGAGTGAATATCTGCCTCCCTACAACACTTCCATGCTTCTGCAGTGAACAATCTGGTTAAAGGACGTAAAAACGGATGATGATGATGATGATGAAGATGAAGGTTATTATTATAATAATTATTATTATTATAGGTGTGCATTCCCCGCCGTTTACAAGCGTTAAGCGTCCTGCAGCCACACAGCAAGCGTGCTCCCGTGCCCCCGCGTCCGCCGCTCAGTCAGTTCGCCTTTGCCGAAGACGCAGCAGACCGGCGAGGAGCGACACCCTGCGCGCAGCCATGCCGCTCCGAGGGCGACTGCAGCTTCCCCGGGCCACTCGCGCGCATCGTGCACACCGACGCGCACGCCTCACCGCCGGCCGCCGGGACGCGCGTCCAGCCCGCCCGCCTGCCCGCCACGGTCCTGTCGGACGAGGAGGGACAAAACAGCAACACCTGGCCGTGTAACTCCGTTTCGGGAGAAAAAAAAAAGAGGAATAAAAGAAGGCGAACTAGGTGTATTGATCTGTATTCAAGTTTCAAATGCCAAGAGTACGCCGAGGAGGAACGGGAACCCCAGAGAACAATTGCTGGGGACGGAGCCGTGTGGATTGGAAGGGCGGCGGTGTCGTTTATTTCGGCATCGCTTCCTCCCCACCCCCTCTACACCCCCACAGGCTTTAACGACCGAAACGTTTATAAAATAGTCATCGGGGCCCGCCGCGGTTTTCTTTCTCTTTTTTTTTTACTGCGGCGGCTGTTCCGGAGAAGAGCAACAACAACAACAACAACAACAACTGCTGCTGCTGCTGCTCTCTGCGCGTCCCCCTGTCTGCTCGAGTCGCCCCGGCGCCCGTCCCCGCCGTGATCGCTTCAACAACGACACAAAAAACACACACAAAAAAAAGTAGGGGGCAGCTGAACGTCTTTTATTTATAACCGCGAACTCGACTTTCAGCCGTCTAAAAATGAAACCGCGCGGGGTTGGTTGTTTTTTTTTTATCCTTGAAATAAACGAGAGAGAGAGAGAGGGGGAAACCAACCGACGGCAGGTCTGCCGGGGGCCGCGCACACACTCGCTCGCAGCCTGACTAGCACCCGCTTTCGGCGGCACAATGCCCGAGCAGCCGGGAGCACTCCCGCCGCGGCGGCGGCCGCCGAGCCCGCCGGCCCGCTGCCGTCGTGAGCGCGCAGGCACCTCACGCCGCTCCAGCGGGGATCCACTTGAGGAATCCCGCGGCTCCCCTTCTCTCCCGGCCCCAGGAACAAACAAAATAAAATAAGAAAATGAAACAATAATAATAAGTCATGACGAAGATTGAAAATGCGCTTACCTGGTTTTAAATTATTGTGTCTGGGTTTGTTTTGGTTTTTTTTTTTTGGGAGGGAGGAAGGGGAGGGGGGGGGGTTACAACGAAAGTAAGGGTCCAACGTCACCCAGGCAGTAATGAATAATACTTTGTGCGGTATTGACCCGAGGACGAGCGCTGGCGGAAGGACGCGCTGCGCAGGCACGGAACTGCAGGCCGCTCCTGATTGTGCGCATACACCCCGCCAGCGCACGCAGCGCACGCGGGCGGGCGGGCGTGCTCGGGGCCGTTACGCAAGTAGCGTGAGCTGAGCCGGGGAAGCCAGCCCGCCCGACCATGAGCGGCTCCGAGAAACGGCCCCTTCTTACGCAAATGGCGTCTGGCGTGCGAGTGTGTGTGTGTGTGCGCCTAGCTCTCCGGAGCGCGAACCCCAGCGGTAACCGGGAGCAGAGAGCTGGGGCGCGAATATGGCGGTGACGAGCAGGAGACGGGAGCGCCCCCGGGCCTCTTGTCTTTTACCAAAAAACACACACACACACACGTTGTTTTTTTAAAATCATTTCCAAGGGGTTTTGAATTAAGATGAGTGTCATTCAGAGCCGGACCAACGTGAACGCTTAAAAATGAACTTGTTTTGGAAATCAGCCTAAATAATTACATACAATAATAGCGCTTAGTTGAAGAGATTTGCCCACAAGTTCAAAATTATTGGAGCGGAAATAACGATAAACGTCTCACCTTTTTTTTCTCCGACGATTCCGTATTAAAATCTTAGGGGAAATGTAAAAAAAAAAAACCCGTTATATCCCTGGCACAATCGCCGGGGATTGTAACAAGTGGAAGTAACTTCAGGAAAAAGTGCGTATCTACTATCATTCCTACTGCTGCATAATAAAATAATAGGGAATTGGGAAACATTTTGTTTGGCATGCTACTTTATATAGTTATTTAAAAAAAACAACTGGAACTCACAAATGAATAATTACGTACTATTTTTTTATTAGGGAGTAATACAACTAAAAGCTACGAAGAAATTAAAACTTTTGAGAGAGATTTTCTAGTATGTTAAAGTTGCATCTATTTTAATAGCTGTGTGGTAACAAAGAATGGGTTTTGTTTCACTAAAAGCAGTGGGAAAATGATGTCTGGTTATTACTAAGCTTAGGTTTAAACGAATAAGCTTGTATAAAATGGGTCTATTGTAACCGAGAACCGGGACCAGATTTTTAAATAAAAAAATATATATTTGTTATGTTTAAGATAAATCATACTCTATCATATTTAAGGAACAAAATTTATGTATTCCAAATGAAATACACGTGATAATACAGATTTGTACGCAGATTTTAACAAGGCATTTTTGTTTTTGCTGACAAAGTCATTGCTTCAGGATCTCGTTCTGGCATTTTCTTTAGAAACTGCAAACAAATTAAAACCTCATAAAAACAAGTATACATGTATGAACTGCAAATTCATTGAACTCGGCATGACTTTAAGACAAAGATTCAAATCAAGTTGAAAGATGTTTTCCACAATTAATAAAACTCACCAAAATACCTGTCGGAATCATTTTATTCCCGAAGCTCTTCGTTTTGCCTGGTTGCTATTTGTTTTTCAAAGTTTGTTTATATGAAAAGATTTGTCTTTAATTTGGAAATCCATAATTTAAAGAAATGTACAGTAAATGGCCCTGGAAGTATTGTAAAAAAAAACAACTAAACATTTCACGACAAGCAAGTTGGTAATCACATCAGATCTGTGAACCCTAAACATGCTGTCATAGTGACAGAGCTACTGTTTGTTTCCACTGAGCAGTTAATATGACAGTTTGGAAATCCATATTTAAATCAAAAGCAAACAAATAGTAATAAGCATGAAGCAACATTATTAGTTCAAGCCACACAGCAAATGAGACCAAAATGGGCCCTGGGATTAAGAGAAAATAAACTGTTCTGATTCCACTAATGAAATTGCCAAACTGGTGTGAATGTGATAATTGAATCTGAAGGCCCACTGCAGTTTTTATGTTGGTGTGAACATGTTGAAGTGTATCTCACATGTACCCTCAGCTCTCAATTTTAGTCTTTAACACACAATACTACATGAGGAACGGAGATATGAGCAATTTTAGCAGCAGCTGTATCACCCTGCAGCTCACAACTGGCAGCCCACAGGAGCTCAGCAGGTGTGAGCCTAGTCAGTACCTGAATGGGAAACCTCCTGGGAAAAACTAAGGTTGCTGCTGGAAGAGGTGCTAGTGGGGCCAGTTGGGGGTGCTCACCTGGTGTCTTTGGGTCCTAATGCCCCAGTATAGTGACAGGGACACTATACTGTAAAAAGGTACCATCCTTGGGATGAGATGTAAAACTGAATTCCTTACTCTCTGTTGTCATTTAAAATCCCAGCGTGTTTCCTGGCATCCTGGCCAAATTTCCCTGTCCTCTACTAATCATGGCCACCTAATAATCCCCATCTCTGAACTGGCCTCATCACTCTGTTCTCCTCCCCACTGAGAACTGATGTATGTGAGTGTACTGGTGCACTATAACT